GTTAACAAGTTAATACGTTAACAAGTTAATACATTAACAAGTTGATAGATTAACAAATTAATACATTAACATGTTAATAGGTTAACAAGTTAATACATTAACAAGTTAATACGTTAAGTTAATACATTAGCAAGTTAATACGTTAACAAGTTAATACATTAACAAGTTGATAGATTAACAAATTAATACATTAACATGTTAATAGGTTAACAAGTTAATATGTTAAGTTAATACGTTAACAAGTTAATATGTTAACAAGTTAATACATTAACAAGTTGATATATTAGCAAGTTAATACGTTAACAAGTTAATACATTAACAAGTTGATAGATTAACAAATTAATACATTAACATGTTAATAGGTTAACAAGTTAATACGTTAACAAGTTAATACGTTAACAAGTTAATACATTAACAAGTTGATAGATTAACAAATTAATACATTAACATGTTAATAGGTTAACAAGTTAATACATTAACAAGTTAATACGTTAAGTTAATACATTAGCAAGTTAATACGTTAACAAGTTAATACATTAACAAGTTGATAGATTAACAAATTAATACATTAACATGTTAATAGGTTAACAAGTTAATATGTTAAGTTAATACGTTAACAAGTTAATATGTTAACAAGTTAATACATTAACAAGTTGATATATTAGCAAGTTAATACGTTAACAAGTTAATACATTAACAAGTTGATAGATTAACAAATTAATACATTAACATGTTAATAGGTTAACAAGTTAATACGTTAACAAGTTAATACGTTAACAAGTTAATACATTAACAAGTTGATAGATTAACAAATTAATACATTAACATGTTAATAGGTTAACAAGTTAATACATTAACAAGTTAATACGTTAAGTTAATACATTAGCAAGTTAATACGTTAACAAGTTAATACATTAACAAGTTGATAGATTAACAAATTAATACATTAACATGTTAATAGGTTAACAAGTTAATATGTTAAGTTAATACGTTAACAAGTTAATATGTTAACAAGTTAATACATTAACAAGTTGATATATTAGCAAGTTAATACGTTAACAAGTTAATACATTAACAAGTTGATAGATTAACAAATTAATACATTAACATGTTAATAGGTTAACAAGTTAATACGTTAACAAGTTAATACGTTAACAAGTTAATACATTAACAAGTTAATACGTTAACAAGTTAATACATTAACAAGTTAATAGGTTAAATACATTAACAAGTTAATAGATTAACAAGTTAATACGTTAACAAGTTAATAGATTAACAAGTTAAAAGGTTAAATACATTAACAAATTAATGCGTTAACAAGTTAATACATTAACAAGTTAATACGTTCACAAGTTAAAAGGTTAAATACATTAACAATTTAATACATTAACAAGTTAATACGTTTACAAGTTAATAGGTTAAATACGTTAACAAGTTAATAGATTAACAAGTTAATACGTTAACAAGTTAAAAGGTTAAATACATTAACAAGTTAATACGTTAACAAGTTAATAGATTAACAAGTTAATACGTTAACAAGTTAAAAGGTTAAATACATTAACAAGTTAATATGTAAACAAGTTAATAGATTAACAAGTTAATACGTTAACAAGTTAAAAGGTTAAATGCATTAACAAGTTAATATGTTAACAAGTTAATAGATTAACGAGTTAATACGTTAACAAGGTAATAGATTAACAAGTTAATACGTAAGAGAAGAAGAAGCCGGTAACAACATGGAGAAATCTACATCCAGAGCCGTGACTTTTTGGACGGACCAAATGTACAGAGCTGTAAAGTTGTCCACCATGGTAGCAGTTAGCTGCTAGCTAACCGTAGCTAACTTGTTTGTCCATTGTTTGGTCTGTGACGTAATAGGTCAACAGGAAAAAGGTCCAATACTAACAAGCTGAAAGGGGGCATATCTCCACCTATCGTAGAGGAGTCGCACATACTTCCCAGCAAGCATTTTTTGGTTTAAAAAACGTCTAATAGCCATCTACATGAAGACCTGACATCTAGGCAAATCACGGCTGAATTTGGGCTGTCAGTGAAAATTTGGTAGACGTCTAACCATAGCCAAAGTGTAGACATCATCAATTATATGGCTATGTAGAGACCATGTCCAAAAAACGGAGATAAACATATTTTAATTACTGTTGACTCTCCATACGTGATTGAATATCATACCGCACGCCATCTGCAATGGCGAAAATTACATTTAATCAATTTCAGAATTAAATCGGTTCAATTTGGGTTACATGTAGCTAGACTAAATCGGAGATAAATATAGCCAATACATTTAAATCACGACTATTGCTTGCTGGGTTGGCTCAATAAATGGATTCCCCTCCCGTGCTTGTATACTGGGACAAGGACAGTAGGCCAGTTAGATGTCTTTGTCCAGCTGGGACTGTAGCTACACTTCACTGGGACTGGAGACTGACTGATTATAGACTGTGCGTCTGGGACTATTTCCTGGAGGCAGTGTGTACCAGCTGAGAATCAAACCAAAGCATCAGTAGAAAAGGATGTTTGTTCATGTTCATCAGCTGAGTGCACAGGTACGAGGTGTCAGGCACGACAATAAACTATGTTTAAGATTTATTTTTTATTATGTCCACAGTTAATAACAGATACAGTGTGTGTTACATCATGTGCTGCACAGAGAACGCCACTGTTCAAACCCACAGAGTTTCATGCAAAATGTTGCAGTGAAAATAAGAGGAAATGAAAGAGAAGGCAGCAGGTGTGTTCATCACAGATCTGACTCAGTCATCATGTTAAAGAGCAACCATCAGACGGTCTGTGGGTCCAGGTCCTCCTGTGTCTCACACTGAGACGTGATCTGAGTCACTGAGGACATTTACATGAACAACATGTTTATGATGTGTTTGAACATGTTAACACCGTCTTCTGTTCATGAGAAACCAGAATGTGTTGGCTGGAGACAGAAACCAGGATGAAAACAGGGAGTATGAATTCTATGTGTTTATGTAAACACCACATCTGAATATGATCATAACCTGGTTATTATTCTGGTGTAACCTGTCTGTCTGTCTGTGGGGTCTCTGGACTGTGGATCAGAGACAAAGAGACGTTTGAGGACGTCACAGTGGACTCTGAGATACTGAGATGAAAGCTTTGGGCCCTCCTGATCAACACGTACTTTACTGAGCACGTTAAAGAAAACGTGTCCCCAAATCCTCGGTCCTGGTGTCACGTTACACTTTACTGACCTTTTGTTTGATGCAGCCGTCCTCGTCTCATGGTGCAACCAAGGCTATTCAAGAGAAGGCTGAGACACGGGGTCAAACATGGGGGGATTGCACATGCGCAGTAAAATCTGGTCTGCACTTCCTCAAAGGCTCAGTAGATGGCGTGAGACCGTGGAATAAGGGGGATGTGCATGCATGTCATTTTCACAGCTTATTACTGGACTGTCACTGGTGGCCTGCGTTGTGGGCGAGAATGACAGAGATGCAATTCCGACAACTTCAGGCAGCCGCCGTCCAAAAGTCCAAGCAGACCGCACCAAGCACACTCCTTGATCGCCTGAGCGGATCCTGCGCTTTTTATCTAGCGCCCCTGCTGTCACCCTCCAGCATCGCAGCTCAAGTTACACTGCGCATGTGCAATCCCCCCATGTTTGACCCTGTGTCTCAGCCTTCTCTTGAATAGCCTTGGGTGCAACCAGGAAGTTAACAGCTCTGGTCATGTGACAGTTTACACTGAACATGTGACACTGCACAGATTTCACTGAGACACTTTATTATTTAAATATTTGCTGAAAATGCATCAACACGTCATTCAGTGACATTTTTAAGCCTTATAACTGAAAGCTTGTTTTGCAGTCACTGTTGTGACCGGTGGGACTAAATGACTACGCTGCAGCCTGACGTGCACCTCCCCAGAGAAATATAACTCCACAGTGTCACAGTGACACAGACCTCCTGTCTGTCTCTGTAAGCTGAAACCATTTCCCTCAGTGGAAACAAAGCTTTGATTTACTTTAATTTCACAGATAAGAAACAATAAATTGTGAAGACAATAAAGCCTCCACACACTGTGTGTGATTTATCCTGGCTGAAATATGAGCAGAGGAAATCTCTGCTAGCTGCTAGGCTAATTTATACAATGTAAAATGCCATAGGCTTGTGCTAATAAAGTTAGCATGTTGTATTTGTGGGGAAAATGTGTCCAGATAAAGGTTTAATGTGTGTTTACTGTGTGTTTAATGTGTGTTTTGAATCAACTAAACTTTACAGCACTTCACAGAAACCCCACCTAGTGTTGTGGAGGTGTAACTGCAGAGTGACACAGACACGCCACCACACAGGTGTAAACACTCACAGTGGCGTAGGCCTCGTGCGTGAGCTACGCCGTAGAGCTGATACATACGTATAAATCCCACTTAACAATCCTACGAGCAGCTCTCTCACAGTTTTCAGCTTGACCTCCACAGTTCCTGTTAACGTCCATTTCTTATTGACAGGACCAAGTGAGGGAACAGCTCCCTGAAAACACTTTGTATCTTCCTCTAGTCTTCATCAGGTCTTTGAGTGTTGAGAGTGCAGGCAGCTGTTTAGAGGAGCCCATGGCTGCTGAGTGTTGGGACAAGCTGTCAGGAGTCACCTGTTATGTCCTCACCATCACTGTCAACAAGAGACCGTGGGGACAGCTGTCTCACTGCTCAGCTGTCTCACTGCTCAAACCTTTGGACGTTGCTCCTTTCATATTATTTTTCACTCTAAAATTGTACAAAACAAAAACAAAACACTGATCTTCATTAAAATGTTGAAAAGCATGTTTCATGTTTAACGTCATGTCTTTTGGAGATCAGCTCATCTTCTTCTCACAGTGAACCACATTTTGACCAGAGGTGCCCAAATGTCTGCTGACACTGTACGTGTTACTGCAGTCGGACATTTTATTGAGTGAAAACTGAAGGTGATGAAGGTTTCACAGCAGAAAAAAAAGAAAAAAGAAGAAGCTGGTTATTAATGCGAGCCGCTCGTTTTATTTCCAACATGTCTGATCAGTTTGATGTTGGTGTTTTCTATCTTTATGTTTCTGTCTCCATCTGAACTCAAACTCTTGTGATCATCTGATTCGATGTCCTGAAATATTTTTGCTCCTGGTTGTAACTTTGTTTGAAACCTGTTGTATAAATAAAGTTTATTAATTTATATAAATGATCAGTCGATGATGAAAATAAAAGTTTTTAAAGAACATAAGTCAGCAGCAAACTGAGACATAATTATGAACAGAGAAGACGCTGACTGACGTCGTCGTCCAGAGACAAGGACGAGGATGAGGACGCTGCCGTGAAACGATGAGAGTAAAGATGGCGCTCTGAGCGAGCGTCAGTGTTCGTCTCTGATTATTGATAAACCTAACACATGTTAACGCTCACAGCTGCTTCCTGTCTCATCTACGCCATCTTCACCATCACGTTGTTGTACGGTGAATCCTGCTGCTCCTCCCTCTGCTCCTCCTCTTCCTCCTCCCCCTGTGGCTCCTCCCTCTCTTCTTCTTCCTCTTCATCAGTGCTTTGTGCAACAGGAATCGCCCTCTTGGCTCGTTTGGGAACGGCGTAGTCGTCCACCCGCGGGTTGTACGGGTACTCATGACCCTTAGGGTCAGCAGGGGTACCCATAATCCTCCAGGCGTCTCCTCTCATCTCCTCGGGGTCGTCGTACAACGAGGTGGGAGGTTTCTGTGTGGCGGTGGGGACGGCGCAGCCTTCGGGCTCATCGTAGATGTGCTCAATCTTCCCGTATGTTGGCCCGGTGGCGGCAGTGGCATCACTTGTGAAGATGTTCCTGATCTTCATCTCATCGATGCTGTCGTAGAGCGGGTCGGCGCCGGACTCAGGTCTGTGAGCATGATGGGACTTCAGGATGTCGGCCATGGTGTTCACAGCGATGGTGTCGAAGGGGAGCGAATACTCCGGCTCCGGGTGGACAACAGGAGGGGTGCCGCCACTCCTCTTCTCCCTCTTGGTGCCTCGCTCTGCAGCGGCTGGCAGGGTGATCTGGGAGTACATCTGGTCCAGTTTGGAGCCGGGGCCCGGGGCCGAGTGGGGGCCAGGCTCGGGGCCGGCGTGAGGCAGAGGGCAGCTGGAGATCATCTTGACCTGGTTCTTACGCGGGATGGGGACGCCACGAGTGTCCAAGGTCAAACTCTTCACACCCGTCAGCACTTTGTCGACCGGAGGCTCCAGATGAGACTGAGGACAGAATACACAGAGCCAATCAGCAATCAATTATCTATCAATCATATCGATCAGTCACAGCTGTACTCATCAGTCCTCAGAAGAAACTGTAATGACCCAAAATGTCCAGCAGGTGGAGCTGTTGATTTATCACACCACATATTTAAGGTCAGTCTGAAGACCTGCTGACATCAACACTGTTCATCCGCCACTGGAAATAGTCCCTGATAAAGTCCTGCTGATGGTTTGATGTGAACTCCAGTTCATGATTATTAAAGCTATACACTTTTCTTATTAAAGATGGACCCATAAACGTGGAGCTGAGAGACACAGACAGGAAGTGACAAGGACTAACACGAGTCTAAACATAAGAGTTTCTGTGTGTTGCAGTTTCAGTTTCCTACCATCTGGGGGCGCTGCTGCTGCTGTGAGGAAGAGGAGCTCTCTTTGTCTTTGTGATGAATCATCTGGTGGTTTGGAGTTTCAGTCACCATGCTGTACACGCCGTCAGCTGCCTGCTGAAAGGAAACAGCCATCAGTCATCATCAGGAGGAGGACAGCGCTCTGCTTCTCTAAGGTTCAAACCTACAGCGTCTCATCAGGCTTCATACAACATCACATCACAGTCTGTGTCACAGCTGAGAGGAGGAAACAATCTTCACATCTAATCTAAAATAAAAAACTTACTAAAAAACGAATCTCTGGAGTCCTGCACACAAGATTTTAGATTAAAATATAAAAATGTGAAATAATTTTTCACTGAGGTTTAACAGGGAACATTAAACAGCCTCAGAAATCAAAATCTTTTATTTTGAAAATCAACACTTTATTCTGAAAATTCAGGAATTTTGAAATTCTGTTCTTCAAGTCCTGATCCAATCTGACAACGCAGAATTTATTTAATATGTATGAAAATTTTGAAAATACTCTGAAAATCTTGGCCTTACTCCAACAATCCAAATTTTATCTTGAAAATCCCTAATTTATTTTAAAATCCCGACGCCCAGACACTGATGATCTATCTGTTTTCTGAAAAGTGTGACTTCATGCAGAAAAGTCTCGAAATTTTAAACTTTAGTTCTGAAAGTCCTGACTTTACTGTAAAAGTCTGGACATTACTCTGAAAGTCTTGATTTGATCTGAAAATCATGACTTCATTCTGAAAATTATAAAATTTTAAATTTTGTTCTGAATGTGCCAATCTAATCTAACAACCCAGAATTTATTTTGAAAACCTTGAATTTATTCTGAAAATCCTGACTTTACTGTTAAATTCAGACTTAATGTAGAAAATCATGACTTCATCTTTGAAATGCCCGACTTTACTCTGACAATCCTGACTTCATTCTGAAATACACAACTTTATTCTGAAAATTCTCAAAATCTAAACATCTTATTATGACGGTCATGACATTAGTCTGAAAATTCAGACATTATTTGAGTCTTGATTTAATCTGATAATCAAGACTATTTCAAAAACCTGTCTTTATTTTGAAGAACCTGACTTTACTTAGACAATCCTGCCCTTATTTTGAAACCCTGCAGAGATGACCTGCACTGTGAGCTGACCTGAGCAGCAGGGGGTTGTGGGACATGGCTGCGTGGCTGAGGCAGCGGTGGCGTCCTGCTCTGGGTCAGGGGCGGGTTGAGGGGCAGGGGGGGCAGGCTCATGTCCTGGGGGGTCTCTGGACTCAGCTGGCCCCCCCCGGACGTCTGCCTCTGGGGCAGGGAGATCCTCTGCAGGTTGATGGCGGCCTCCACCGCCTGAAACAGGAAGTTCCCCTGCTTGGTGTCGAACTCAAAGCTGCCCTCGCCGGAGTCGCACCGCCGGCCGGCCTCGAAGGAGAAGGTGGACTGAGGGACAGGAAACGCATCACAGTCAGGATCCAACCAGATGTCACGCATGTGTGTGTGTGTATGTGTGTGTGTGTGTGTGTGTGTGTGTGTGTGTGTGTGTCACCTTGTCTCGTCCAAAGCGGCGCAGGTATCTGTACGGCCAGGTGTACACCACGTCACCGCTCTTGTCCATCAGGAGGAGAGCGTCCACGTCTGCTCGCAGGAACCCATCTCCCTTCAGCCTGCAGCGATCAGACGCCTCCGTCCTCCGAACACACACTCTGAAGTCACGCACTACTGACACACACACACACACACACACACAGGATCAATAGTTATTGATCTGTGATCAGTCAATAACACAAACAGTCTCTTCTCTCTGTCATAAACTGAATATTTTCAAACTGTTTTCAGACAACGTGATAAAGTTGATCAAATGTTCTTATTGATCAGTTCAGTGATTATTGATTATAGAATTTAAAAAGGCAGCGTGTCTGAAGCCTGAGACATTAACCCCTTCATCACCTTCATGTTGTCACTCTTTCACTCAAACATGTCGACATGCTTCAGATTTGATGTGTTGTTTTTGGCTTCACTGTAAAAACTTTATTGATCCTACAGATGGAGGATCAATCAGACGCTCGTGCTGACCTTTACACAGGTTTAAAGCCTCCGAGGTGAATCATGATTCGTCACATTGGGCTCATTAAATGAAATGGAGCCACTCTGAAGCAGCAGGAGCTCAACTTACAAAACTTCCTGGCACACAGAGCTCAGAGCTGCTGGTGACGAAATTCAAGAAAATTCTTAGAATTGTGACGCTATCTTAAAATTTCCCCTTAAAGTTAAGACGAGGTCCTGGTAAAGATAAGAGTCCTTCACAGAGCTCGTGTCTGCAGCAGCAGCAGCAGCAGCAGGAGCAGCAGGAGCAGCAGGAGGAGGAGGAGGAGGAGGAGGAGGTTTAACAAGAGTCTCTGAATCAGAGGAGAAAATGATGGAAACACAAGAAGCTCAGAGGAATCTTCACTGACTGACACTGAGCCAATCAAACACACTGTGACACTGTACATTCATTCTCTGCTTGATTCCCAGTTAACGACCCTGCCTGCCTCTGACCCGTCGACATCGTCTGTAAACTCACCAGCTTTCAGTCCCCGACCACGAGTTCTGCCTCTGCGTCTCTGGTGTGTGTCTGCCAGTGGCTGTGTGGTGTTTTCCTGCTATGACGTCTAACAGTGAGTGTTTCCACCTGTCTGTCTGTTGCCTGCTGTGAGACGCCACACGCTGCCTTTTCTGATCTCTACTTCCCTGCAATTCATCATCATCCCTCATCTCTCATCATCTCTGATGCTTGCTGGAGTGCTCCTCTGATCCCGGACCCTCCCCTTCTCATCCACGCCATCTGTAAGCCTCTCTTTCCCTGAACCCAGAGACTGTGTGTGCGCTCTTGGCCCAAAGAATCAACTATCACCTTCATGTCTTGGTCGGCTCAAGCTTCTGTTTATTTTGTGCATAAATACAGGTCATTACCACCTGTCACTGAGTGCTGCATTTGGGTTCAGTCACACTGTGACACAGTACCCTCTGTCACACTGTCACACTGTGACCAAAATGATCACAGCACTAAGTGTGAGTGTGTCTCGACCCTCCATCAGCAGCGTCACACTGACAACACTCTCAGTCTCAGGCTGTTTTCACACTTGGTCATTTCAGCCCTCTGAATGGACTCAGAGTGGTGACTCAGCATTTTCTGGCATGTGTGAGCACTCCAGCAGAATCCAGACCCCTCCAGGTTCACTTTGCTCTCTGCTGTTGGATTAAACCCTCTGATCACATGATGTTGACCTGGGACGCTTGAGGAAACAGACGAAACCTTGTCGGCCTGTAACGCTGACAAGGACGCAGGACGAGACGAGGAGCAGTTTGGTCCACAGAAGACTCTGCACGTCTCCAGATGTGGAACTCAGAACACATGACACAGTCACAGCTCAGAGACACTCAGCGTCTCCTCAAAGTTTAAGGTCATCTGAAAGTGAGGAGCCTGGTGACCTCACTGCAGAGACACGTCACAGTGAAAACAATAAGCTATATGTATTATATATTATATACAGTGTGGACAGAGAGAGGACTGGGGCCGTTCACAGGCTCCGTTTTTTGCACCCTCAAATTCATTGTTTTCAATGTGGAGGCACTGCAGCTGTGCTCACATGGCAGAGCGAGACACGAGAGCGACGCCACGGTGGTGCGCACGCATTCCCGAGCACCCATTTTCAGGACACGATGGCTGGGCTCTGAGGTAGCGAGTTCAACTTCTGGGACACAGCAGCACGCACCACGTCATGTGACGAGGAATGACCAATCACAGCTGACAGATATCTGTCCTGTAAATATCAGTGTGTGATAACTATGGAGGAGAAGTTGATCATGTGGGTGCAGAGCTGTCAGAGCGTCATGTCTGTCCCACAGACACACAGGAAGTAGATCAGCTCTGACCTCAGGGTTTCAGGTGAACACGTCACAATATGGTGCTGGTTATGGTCGCTTAGCAACCTCAGACACAACCTGCCGCCGTGCTCTAGAAAGCTGGCACAGAAGTAGCACCTGGTGCCAATTAAAGACCCGGCATGTGTGCGGCCCCGAAGAGTTCAGTTTGTTTAAAAGGACTACATGTGAAAACATCCAGGGTGTCTCTGTCCACACTGTATATAATATATAATACATATAGCTTATTGTTTTCACTGTGACGTGTCTCTGCAGTGAGGTCACCAGGCTCCTCACTTTCAGATGACCTTAAACTTTGAGGAGACGCTGAGTGTCTCTGAGCTGTGACTGTGTCATGTGTCCTGAGTTCCACATCTGGAGACGTGCAGAGTCTTCTGTGGACCAAACTGCTCCTCGTCTCGTCCTGCGTCCTTCTCAGCGTTACAGGCCCATGAGGTTTCATCTGTTTCTTCAAGCGTCCCAGGTCAACATCATGTGATCAGAGGGTTTAATATGCTGAGTCACCGCTCTGAGTCCGCTCAGAGGGCTGAACAGGACCAAGTGTGGAAACAGCCTCATATTGTGTTGCAGTTTGTTTAATGGCCACCAGGTGTCCTCAGCCTGCAGGCTCACTAAAGGACAACCAATCACATCTGCTGAAAGACTGAGTCACACCTGACAACAGGGTCGACTGCACCTCCTCACTGAGGTCAGCGTTTGTGTCTCTTCATCACTCCTCATCCAGGACTCTGAATATGAGTCATGATATGAACTGAGAACATGAATCTCCTTCTTCCTCTTCGTCCTCTATGACGGCAGCAGTTGACATGTTGTCAGATGTGTGACATGGAGGAAACCACACACACAGACGGGGGTGTGTGTTGCAGGTGTGTGTGTGTGTGAGGATGTGGGGAACGGTAGCAGCGTCAGTAGCTGCACATCACGACCTCAATTAAACACAAAATGTTACAACTGTCTGTGGTGCTATTTTTATCTACGTGTGGATTCACTCGTCAGCGCCGGGACTCGATCTCTTCTTTGTGTTTTTGCTCTAAGATGTTGCTGCTTTAATTATTTTACTTGATTCTCTTTCTTTTCTACAGTTTGCTCTCTGCACGACATGTTCATGTGCTCATGTCCAGAGACAAGACAAGTTTTATTTTATTGTTTATATCACTGTCTTTATTTATGACGCTTTTATTGGGTCAAATATATTTTGAATTCAGTTTGAGTCAGTGACGGAGCCAGAGAGCCGACTGAACGAGGCTGAGACAGAGACATGCATTAAGAAGGAAGAAGAAGAGCAACAGGCCGACGGCGGCGCTCGTCTGTGTGCGACGTCACGGAGCTCTTAGAGTCGAACTTCTGCTGCTTCTATTGGCTTCCTTCGCTCTTCTGTGTCACCACAGGGCAACAGTCAGAGCGAACATGTGACCAGACATGTGACTGCGCGACCTTGTTACAGCTGAGAGACGCAGTTATAGTTTGAAGTGTTCCTGTCTGTGTGCACATGGCAAAGTTATCTTGTCTTATGTCATGTCACTGGAGGACGTGTTCACATGTCACTGGAGGACGTGTTCACATGTCACTGGAGGACGTGTTCACATGTCACTGGAGGACGTGTTCACTACACACTGATTACTGCAGGATACAGAAACTGTAGACTGATCACACAGGAAGGTTAGGGTGAGGAGGTGATGGGGTGGTTGCCTGGCAACAATAAAAAGGTGCAGCAAGTGTTTTGTTTTTTCTTACTAGTGGCATTCAGTTCCAAAAAGGCAGCACAGAGCTCCTCGTGTTTTTCAACCTGCAGAACACTGTCTGTGTGATGGTGGCCTCACACTGTCTCCACTGTGTCTGTGACTATAAGACTTGTTTTAAAAGACAGGAAGTGGATTTTTAAGTCTGAAATCTGAACAGATGTTGTTAAAGATGTGATAAAGAATCAGCTGATATAAAAACATCCAGACAGAATCAATCACAGGAACTGAGACACTAAAATAACAAAGTCAGTTTCAGGTCTGATGTTAAACTGAGTCACTGAAATCTGTTGGTGACAAATAAAGAACAGACACACTGTGGTTCACCTCACAACATCACACACACCAAATATACACTCACACAGAGTCCGTCAGAGCTGCAGCACAGACACACACCAGTGACACCAGTGACACCAGCACAAACACACACCAGTGACACCAGTTCAGGATCAACAGAAACACTGAGACACTTTTGTAATCCAGAAGTTAAATAAATGAACTTCAGGAGACGTGACGATGTGATTAAAGTATCGACAAGTGCTTCATCCAACACTGTCTCATATTATCTGAGTTTACAAAAATGTGATGGAAGGAAAACTTTGTATGTGAAATCCAAATGGGAAGATGACATCACGTCCTCACTGTGACCTCGTCACATGTCCACGTTTGGTCATGGACTTTCCACGTCCACATATGACGTCCAAGGTACCCTGGGTGTGTTGGTTGTTGACGTTCTGGGACGCCGTGTCAACTTCAGCCTGTTACATGCATTGTCTGTTTTCAAAATACACTTCTGTTTTCACAGGAAATGTACAGTTTGCATACAGTCTCTTTCAAAATAAAAGCTCTACGTCAGTACAACACCGCCAACTGATGTTTTTTTTTCTTCAACAACACACACACGTGGTTACGTTTAGGCAAAACGAACAGGGTTTGGCTTTACAGTCTTACAGGGCACCATTCTCTCGGGTGAGAGACGGTGTTTGTCAGACCCATCCATCAACATTCCCTCCCCTTATCCCACCATGTGTCCCCCTGATACAGCTGGGTGCCATCACACTACAACAGCAACTGGCTGTGTATCATGCCGTCGTTAAAGGGCGGCTTTTTTCTTTGGTTTCTGACGCCAAATGCCACAAGTCACTGCCGAAGTGCCGGATTTTGACGACTTAAGAGTGAGACCGGGCTCGGGAAGCAAAACTGAATATTAATCCGTCGGGAGATGAATGGCGTTCTATTTGTAACACGCAGCAAACTTCAACCAGCTCTGAAAGATGGAGAGAATATAATTTGATTTTTCTTTAACAATCAGGTGAACGACAACACTGCTGAGACTCTGTGGGCAGGCGAACACCGATCACTCACACGCTCTGGTCGTGATTAAAACTCCAAACATTCTGGGATTGTTCTGATTCTGGAGAGTTTTAGGTCACAAGGTCACAGTGCACCCACGGATTGTGAGCCTGGGATCAATATGAGGACGTTACTCATAAGAAGGACATTGAGAACAAACAGGCATACAAAAAGAGCCTTACTGGGAACTGGCTGAAACCTGACCATTAAACTCCGGGACAGAGGACAGACACTGTACAGGAACTATATTCCACAGACACACTGACATTTCACCTGAGGACTGGAGCGAGGACACGTGTGCAACGCCGGGAGAAACTGACTGTCAGAGACATGAGGTGAGTCAGCTGGTCTGAAGACAGGTGTCAGCAAGTTGGAACAATGTTTTGGTGATTAAATAACTGAAACATTCATGAATATAAAGTCTGAAATAAAAAGAGAGACTGAGACAGTGAACTGACCTCAGAGCAGCTCAAACCACAGACATGCTCGGCATGAGATGATCTTCAACTTCCTGTTAAAAAACAGGAAGTTGGTCTGACGACGATAAAAAACTGAAATCGTCCTGCTGCCACCGGTCACTGCACACACACACACACACACACACACACACACACACACACCGCAGCAGGAACTCACACACTCACACATAAGTTTCCACTACACGACAACAACACACATCAGTGTGTAGAAACACACAGTGTGCTGCACTTTAAGCTTCGTCTCCAGCAGCAGCTTCACTTCACATCAGTTCAGTCTCACACTTTCTGTCTCCACAGTAAAAGTTGTGGATGGTCCCAACAGAAGCGTTCCTTAGCGTCCCCATGTTTGGTCCCCCCTCTGTTGGGGTACCTAGCACACAGATCTGGTACTAAAAGGTGGAGCTAGAAACCCTGCAGTCTGATTGGTCAGTAGAGGACGCTCACTCTGGCCTCATGTTGACCCACGTCTCCTCCTGCTGATGTACCAGACTCAAACTCACACATCACCAACACTGCTGCCAGCCTAACTACCCACACACAACCTCTCAGAGTTAAGCAGCAGGGCCACTGCACACATGGCGAACTCAACAGGACATGACATCACACACCTGCTCCACCACCACCTCACCCCACTGCCCTCTGGGTGCAGCTACAGGTACTGAGGTGCAGGAGGACTCACTGTGGCCAACACGCTGTGTGCGACTGACTTTTGTCTCCAACGTTCTGAAACGGTTTCATCTCGTCAACAATCTTTGGTCTGAACTGGACTTTAAATTTCACTGAGACAACACTGACCATCGCTTTAGTTTTTATATGACAGTGTGTGTGACTGTGTGTGTCTGTGTGTCTGTGTGTGTGTGACTGTGTGTGTCTGTGTGTGTGTGTGTCTGTGTGTGTGTGTGTCTGCGTGTGTCTGTGTGTGTGTGACTGTGTGTGTGTGTGTGTGTGTGTGTGTGTCTGTGTGTGTGTGACTGTGTGTGACTGTGTGTGTGTGTGTGTCTGTGTGTGTGTGTGTCTGTGTGTGTGTGTGTGTGTGTGTGTGTGTGTGTTGCAGCACACTTGCAGCTATATTTAGCGCTGATGGGAAAGAGACCGAGGGAGAAAGAGGAAGTGAGGGTTTGGTTGAAGGTGCGACAGGAAGTCTAAAAAACACGACGACTTGAGGAGGACAGAAGTTTTTCACCACAACAACTTTGAAGAGTTTCGTCTCTGCTGCTCATTAATGTGTTCACATCAAACATCACTCAGTCATTCAGAGAGGTGTAATGAACAGACAGACAGACGAGTTCAGACTGACGTCACACACACACACGTCAATGAGACACATCTGATATGATCGAGACACGTTTACTCAGCGACACATCACAGCTACTTGAAACCTCACAGAGCTGATGATCAGCTGATTCATTGATCATGTACGACTTCACGATGAGGTCAAAGACTTTTCACATTCCTCATGTGCAGATCAATAAATATGATCTCCTCTCTGTGCTGACTGACGCTCTCTCTGCTGAGTCGACACACATGAAGTTTCCGTTTCCGTCCTCCTTTGTGTCTCATGTTTGGGGACGTGACGTCTTTATAACAACGACAAATTCATCCCAGTTAATTGACAAAGTGCTGAACTTTAATCACTCAGATCAACTCTGTTCTGTTCTCTGACGAGTGAATAATATTTACTGATCATGAGTGTTTTCAGCTGATCAGTGTGGCTGGCGTACAGCAGGCTGCTGGGCTGATGTGATCGTTTCTTCTTCACTGTGTGAGACTCTACATGAGACGAGCTGAAGCGTCTTCACGCTGCTATTCATCATCGAACAAGCTGGAAACACCTTCCATCAGGAATAACACAGAAACATAAAATGCAGAGTTCCTCACTGAAACAATACGAGACAGGATTCCTGAGCACAGAGCTGTTGGAGTGAGGATGAAAGATGAAGGAGCCAGATGTTGGCAGGATTCATTCTGTCCTGATGTGACGGGGACACGTCCCTGCTGCCCATGAGCAAACCACACTCTTACATCTGAGTTAACTTGACTTGAAATGTTTTTATCTTCGTCCTGTGATCTGACGTTTCAGCAACACTGTGATTCACCTTCTTCTCTCTGTGACAATCAGCTGACCACACTCAGCTGATCTCTGTCTCACTAACCAACCTGTGATGATGTCACCGTGTCCTGTCACAGACATCACGCTTTATATCTGTCACTGAGGACACTTTAAATGTTGTGTGGATGTTTTACAGTCTGTCTGCTGATCTGAGCGCTCAGTGTTCAGTGACCTCTGCCTTTATGATCTTTATGATGATGTCACATTATTGTTCATTTATCATGTTGATCTGTTGGTGAACAACATCTACTGTCCGTCTGTCTGTCCTCAGTCCTGAGGGTTTTTCCCAGTTAAAGGTTTTTTGGGGAGATGTGGTAAAACTGTGATTATTGATTTGAGCTTTATCAATGAAACTGAACAGTCAGACTGTCACTGAACGCACCGACTGAGCAGCCTTCATGTTGTGACTGTTGTAACTCAAGACATCACAGCATGAAGCTGGTTCATCACAGAGAGGAGAGACAACAGAGACAGACAGGTTTTAGACAGGTGGAGACAGACAGGTGTACCTGTCTCTCTGCCGCTGTACAGTGAGTTGTCCTCCATCCCCTCCTCTTCCTCCACTCTGTGTCCTCTCTGCAGGCTGCCTCTCTTCACCCCGTGCTCTGTCCACTTCATCTGCACACACACACACACACACACACACACACACACACACACATCAACACAGTATTCTACATCACCAGTCAGGAGCTCATTTTAACACTGAAACACTTCTCGTGTCTGTCAGACATGATCAGATCTATAAACTCTCCCTCTGTGAAGTTAAAATGAAGCTTGATCTGAATTAAACTGAATTCAGTTTCATTCAGTTCAGTTCGGTCTGATCTGATTTCACTTTATTGGCAGAAAAAAACATTTTACATTTAACCAAACTCTGATTTAACAAAGCGTTCCTCGGCCTGTGCAGTCCGGTCCGTGTGACGTCACAGGCCGATATCTTCAAATAACCTGAGAGGTTCAGACGTGATGTCACCATCCAAAGTTCCTCACTGAAGATGTGATCTGTCTGTGGCCTCCAGGACGACGTTCTGTTTTATCTCCATGGTAACAGGTATATGACGCATCAAAGCTCAGAGTGTGACGTCATGAGGAGGTCGTCCGTCCCGACTGTGTGCAACAACACAAACATCTCAGGAGCAGCTGAAGATAAAAAAGTGTGTGATTCAGAGCTGCACTTGTCTGATGTATTACAGTTTTTTTCAGTCGCTAACAAGCGTTTGTCCAACCAGTTGTCACATTTTCAAAACTATAAACACAATTAGCACAGCATCGGTCTTTTGTGGCCATACCATTCACACATTTCATGTCATTTTCACACAATATGCAGTCAGTGAACACATTTCCACAATGCTTACATTTTCTTAACAGACAAGCTATACCTCCCAACAAAATTATGGATTGTTTTTGTATTATTTACAAATGTTAACACACAACATCCCACAATAGCAAAAACAATATTCCAAACCTTAGATACAGTACAAAAACCTCTGCTTCTGCAATGATATCAGTTCAAAAACAATATATCTCAGCTGATAATAAACAAACAATTGAATAATTGACACTCAGCTGATTTATGTTGGGTAAAATGGGCCAACCACAGCTGATTCCAGTCTGGCTTAGACTCAGTGGCAGGGGTTAAAAGGAGGACTTTGAGGAGTGATGTTTTTGGAAACAGAAACAGAAAAAGACAAACACTGTAATGTCTGGACGAGGAAGAGTAAGAGCAAGGGGCCCAGTGAGAGGTGCAGTGAGAGGTGCAGGAGCAGTGAGAGGAGCAGTGAGAGGTGCAGGAGCAGTGAGAGGAGCAGTGAGAGGTGCAGGAGCAGTGAGAGGAGCAGGGCCAGGGAGATGGCAAGGTAGAGGTGTAATGCGTGGTGGTGGCATCCCAAGGGCTGCAAGAACAGTAGTCAGTGATGAAATTCGTGCCACTGTCATTGACCATGTAATCAACCACGGTCTTTCACTAAGAGAGGCTGGTGAAAGAGTGCAGCCCAATTTGAGGCGGTCAACGGTTGCCTCCATTATACGCATCTTTCAACAAACCAACAGGTAAGTATTGCATTTTACATGGATTGTTTCTATTCTCACTTGACACGTCAATAAGGCCATACAGTAATGTATATGTTGATTTTTTTGTCCCTCTAAAGAATGCAACGTCTTCCTCCCTCTGGGGGAAGAGGAAAGCTCCTCAATAATGATCAAGAGCTTGCCATTGTAGAAATGGTTGTTGCAAATAATGCAATAAAACTGCATGAAATTCAAACTAGAATTGTGGAGGACCATGAGATATTTGACAATATCGATAGCATCAGCCTCACAACCATTACGCGGACATTGTCCAAACACGGAGTGCGGATGAAGCAGCTCTACACTGTTCCCTTTGAGAGGAACAGTGAGAGAGTCAAGGAGCTACGACGACAATATATCCAGGTATAGTACTGTATATTCAATTCAATGTCCAGTTCTATAAGCTTTGCACTTTGCAAGTAGGTAACCTACACAGTAATAGGTTACAGTACAGTATGGTATACAGTAATGAGATTTACATGAACTTTGTTTCAGAGAGTTATGGAATTGGAGGCCAACCAGGCCCCTCATGAATTCATATACATAGATGAGGCAGGATTCAATCTGGCCAAAAGGCGTCGATGTGGACGAAATGTAATTGGAAAAAGGGCCACAGTTGATGTGCCAGGACAGAGAGGGGCAAACATTACCATGTGTGCAGCAATTGCAAATGCAGGATTACTCCTTCACAGATGTCAGGTTGGACCCTACAATACCGAGCGCCTCCTTGCCTTTCTCAATGATCTCCACCAGCGCCTGGTTCCAGAGCAGGATGAGGAGGGTGAAAACATGAGGACCTTTGTAATCACCTGGGACAATGTGGCTTTCCATCATTCGCAAGCAATAACAACATGGTTTGAAGTCCACCCAAGACTGGTACGTCTCTTCCTTCCACCCTATTCACCTTTCCTCAACCCCATAGAGGAGTTCTTTTCTGCATGGAGGTGGAGGGTTTATGACCATCAGCCACATGACCAGATGTCCCTCCTTGAAGCCATGGATGCTGGCTGCAGGGACATCACAGTTGATGATTGCCAAGGGTGGATCCGACATACCAAGCGGTTTTATCCCAGGTGCATCGCCATGGATAATATCAGATGCAATGTTGATGAAAACATATGGCCTAACCCTGAAGATCGCAGAGATTAGATACAGTAATTTTGTGCTTTTTTTAGTTCCCCCCCTTTTTATCTGGGCTTTTTGCTGTTGTTTTTTTGTTCAGAATGCTCTTGTGTGTTTCATGGATATTTTGTTCACTGTAAGCAATACTGTAAAACTTTTTCTGTTCTATCATATTGTAAACAGTATTTCTACTGTACCTCCTGTAGTAAACAGTAAAGGAAAAAAAAAACTGATTTGCTTTTTACTGGAATGCTTTTGAATGTGAACATTACATGTGGACATACAGTTCCCAACCAAGAAATTTAGTGTAAAAACGGTGGATTGCATGTTTTGCATGCAAATACCTGTAAAACTGAAACATAAAAGTCTATGCAGTTTTTGTCAACAATAGCCAGTATTTTGAAACCTGGTGTACTTTGATTGACTGCATGTACCTTGTGAAGTGAAAACAAGTGTTATTCTTTGACAGAATAATTTCATTTTGAGTCAGATTTCCAGTGTTTTGGTAAAGTTAGTGTGTGCAGAGAAAGATGTGTTCTATTTTGAAATGAAGAGTTAGAATATATTTAACAAAATGTATTTTTGAGAAGAAAATTATCCATTTGGCCAATTGTGTTTTGTAGGTGTGAGTCTGTGTTAAGAGTTTAGAAAAAGTATCTGAAGTATGGGTAAGCGCTTGTTAGCGATGGACGTGTCCCTGCCCTCTGATTGGCTGTCTGTGTGCACTTCCTGTCACACAGAGACAGAGGGGAAGCTGTGAGTCAGGACGATCAGCTGTCCGTCACCTTGCTGCTTTTTATAACCACACAGACCCTGTTTCACTTTAAGACTGTTTCACACTGACTTTATCTTTCATCACATTCTCTGTTAAACTGGTGCTTTTATTTTGAAAAGATTCTGTGCGAAACATGATTATTAACCATAGTGATCAGATCAGCAGCTGGAGCCATGTCGTTTCCATGACAACCAACACATTTACTTATCTACAATATCAAAAAAACAAAATCCAACTGGACGTTGAATCTCTCCTTTATTTGACTTAGTTATTATAAGAGGAAACTTTTTACACAAACTTCATGAACTAAATGTTTCAATCTGAGCAGATAATGGTGCCCCAAACACTTCAGCTTTCATCCTGCTGCTCTTGTAAGCAAGACAAGACTTCACTAGAATAAATACAGAGGGTTTATCACAAGATGCAAACCACTGGTTAGCCTTAAAAATGGAAGGCCATATTAGAGTTTGTCAAAAACCATCTAAAAAGCCTGTACAGTTGTGGAACAGCATACTATGGACAGATAAAACAAAGATCAACTACCAGAATGATGGGAAGACAAGAGAAGGAAGAAGGGAAGGAACTGCTCATGATCCAAAGCACACCACCTCATCAGTGAAGCATGGTGGAGGTACTGTTATGTCATGGCCATGTATGGCTGCCAGTGGAACTGGTTCTCTTGTATTTATTGATGATGTGACTGCTGACAAGAGCAGCAGGATGAAAGCTGAAGTGTTTGGGGCACCATTATCTGCTCAGATTCAACCAAATGCTTCAAAACTCATTGGACGATGCTTCACAGTGCAGTTGGACAATGACCTGAAGCATATTGCAAAAGCAACCAAAGACATTTTTAAGGCAAAGAAGTGGAATGTTGTGCAATGGCCAAGTCATATCATCTGACCTGAATCCAACTGAGCATGTGTTTCTCTTGCTGAAGCCAAAACTGAGGGCAAAACACCCAAAACACAAGCAGGAAGTGCAGACGGCTGCAGTAAAGGGCTGGCAGAGCATCACCAGCAAACCCAGCATCTGGTGATGCCTATGTGTCCAACACTTCAGGCAGTCATTGACTGTAAAGGATTTGCAACCAAGTATTAAAACTGACTGTTTAATTGATGATTATGTTAGTTTGTCCAAATACTTATGAGCCCTTAAAGTCGGGGGACTGTGTGAAGAAATGGTTGTCATTCCTACACGGTTCATACTACATTTTTGAAAAAAACCTTAAATGAAAGCTGAGAGTCTGCACTTTAAGCAGGTATTCATTGTTTCATTTAAAACCCATTGTGGTGGTGTACAGAGCCAAAATGACGACAACTGTATCATTGTCCAAATAATTATGGACCTGACTGTATTCACACAGCACAGTGAAGGTTAATGCAGTGCACTACTGACGCATTCAAACAGTCCAAAAGTTGTGACAAACAAACTTATTTTTCTGTCTCTAATCACGACAGTCAGCTGTCCACCACCTAGAATTAAATAATGAGCAGACAAAGTCAAACTTTGTCTTCACATCAGAAAAGATGTTTCAGTTCAGCAGTATTCAGGAGCGTCAGTTCTCACCGCTCATGTTGTTACTGTCAGTATTTATAGCATCACCGCTGCGACCTGTCCACCACACCACAGTGTGACACACATCAGCCCAGTGAACTGTGGTCAGCCTCTCGTTCACCTTTGACAGAAGATCATTTCACACTTTGACGCCCTGGCCTCACACCTCCGCTGACACTGCTCACAGCGTTTGTTACGCTGCGGTGAATCTGAACTGACCTTTAAAAACACAAAGTCACACAATAACTCAGACTAACTGACAGAGGCAGCGGTCGACCAGAAGCTCCTGAGCTCACTGATGTTAAATCACTGTTTTTCTAAATGGAGTCTGGCTCTGAAGAGAGAAGAGATACGTTTCAATTCATCAAGAGTTTTCTCTGGTTTTGGATTCTCCGTTCACCCTGGAGGACTGAGAGAAAAACTTCCCAAATTCAACGTAATATACGACGAGTAACTCATATACAAATGATCATTTCTTCAAAAATGAAGACAAAATATCTCGGATACAACCACAGCCATCTTGTGCTGGTGGCGTCAAGTTCCCACCCATGCACCTGTCTGACCAGTCGTGAGTGGTGCGGTTGATGATGAGCACATTGACTGGTCACAAAGCTGAGTCATGGCGCCAAACGCCCTCTTGTAGCATTAAATAACTTAATAAAACCAAACTTATCAGAAAAACGAACACATGAACAAACATCAGCGTAACAGGAACGACATGAAGTGACAGAAACCATCTTTTGGGAAAAATGTATTTGACATGAGCTTTGGTTTTTTAGTTTGGCCATGTCCCATCTGTCCCATCCTGCAGCCAGCCACCAGGGTGCGATCTAGATGATTGGGTTCACCTTTTGGGAGTCCTTCAATGGGATTTGATGACGTAGCCTCTTTTGAGAGGCACCAAGTGTCTTCCTGGACCTCGTCATCAAGGCCCTGGACCCCCACTGGCATGGACTCTTATACCTCCCACAAACTGTTGGTGCTTCTGAAAGTCAAGGAAGGATCCTCATCGTATCCCCTTGAAGGACTGTTCCAGTGTCAAGGATCCTTTGAATTCTACCAGAGCAGAGCAGAGTCCTTCCTCTTGAGAATTTTCAAGGATGCATGTGTTTATCCTCAGCTGGTACGAAGTACCCACAATTCTTTGTGCACATTTTGCCAGAATTAAGGGTGGGTCTCCTCAGTGACGCACACCTGGGCACTCGTTAGCCTGTTCCAAAGTGTGTGCACCAAATTCAAGGAGTCTTGCCGAGCCTCTGTAGGATCCGACTTGGAAGGACCCGTCCTACCACGGAAGGATCCTTGACTTTGAGAAGCACTAAAAGTCTATTGGTTAGAGTAAGGGTATGTGTGTGTGTGTGTGTGTGTGTGTGTGTGTGTGTGTACCTACAGGGAAGGCGATCTCACACAGTTTGTGTGTCCAGTCGTCCAGTTGCAGTCGGTCTGCGGCAAACACGTAGATTTTCTCTGTGGTCTCGATCAGGAAGGGTCCCGTGTCTCTGGGACATCCGTCCATCTCCACCTCAGACACCCGGATACAGTCCGCCAGACGGATCACCTGGGTGACACACATACACACACACACACACACACACACACACAGGCTCTTATCACCTAGGTAACAGGGTGTGTTATCGCTACGGCAACAGAACAGAGGAGATCATTACAACATTAAACAAAACCGAACGTCTGGTGTTCTTGAGCAGGAAGTAGAGAATAGTAGAGTCCAGTAGAACATAGTTTCAGACTTAACAGTAGAACAGAAAACACTTCAGAGTAGAAACAGACGGAGTTAAATAGAACACAGCAGAGTACATTAGACTGAGTACAATAGAGTAGAGTAGCACAGAGTAGAACACAGTCCAGCTGAGTCCAGTAGAGTCCAGTAGAGTCCACTGTACCTTCTTGTGCTCCTGCTGTTTGCGTAGACTCTTGTCGTTCTTCTCCACACTGCCTCCATCTTTACACTCAAAGAACTCCAGTCTGGAAATCGAACAGGAACTCTCTCTGTACAGGACGCACCACACACGCTTCCACTTCTACACACACACACACACACACACAGAGTGATGTCAATGTTACTGTTGCCTCTGAAGCTGCTCGTACAGTGATGCTGTCTTCAGATGAAACACTGAGGGCCGAATTCACAAAAGGATTGCGTGGCTTTTGCAGCAGCTAAACAGATAAAAATGGAGCAAACAGATAAAGTCTAATTCACAAAGCACGCGCAGAGGGTGAAATGCTCCACTAACTGCGCTGCCAAGCAGATTGTGTCTCGGTGCTCCCTTTCTATGCAAATGAGCCTGATTGATAACCAACGTCTAATTCACTAACACCAGCGCTAACAGCCACACGCAGTTTGAGTGAAGTAAATAACGTCTTTAGAAAGCTGGTGCAAACTGGGCGCTCCTCTGTGGAAGCCTCTCGCCCAGACTTTCCAGTGATCGTGGCAGCAGTGATCGTCTGTTAAATCAGTCTGTAAATAATATTTTGACATTATTATTATAATCATTATTACTTTAATGGCATCCGAAGATATTGATGCGTTGAACAGGTGACAGTCTGCGGTCGTTCTCAAAACGCACTTCTGTCACGCACTTCAAAAGCAACTTTCAATAATTTATTTTATGAAACGAGGGAAACAAACGTGAACAAAAACGGTTCCATAATTCATATTAAATTCAAAAGATAACGACAAAACAGCTACAAGTGAGAGGGAATAGTGATAAAGTGGTCAAACTTGGTCAAATCCACAGCCTCAACCCATCCGACACTGTTAGACTGACTCACCAGCAGACATCACTACATGAGGGTTTACAGTATTCAGTACTTTGCCAAACAAAGTCTAATTAATACCAGCGCTAATAGCCACATGCAGTTAAGTGAAAGAAATAACTTTGCCATGTGGGTAATTGCAATCAGGGGCAAATCAGGGGCAAACTGCACTCAGCTGCCAAACTTTGTGGGCGTGTTTGCGCTGGTATATCATTAGCGCAATATCCTTTGTGAATAGGACGTTAAGACGGAGCAAACTGCGGGTGCAAGTGAAGTGCAATTCAAGGTGCTATCAGCGGCCGCAATTCATTCTTTGTGAATTCGGCCCTGAGTGTCGGAGCACACTCTGGCAAAGAAAAAAAACCTGGCCGGTTCATAAATTCAGAGCGCTGTCTAAATGTACTGTTTGGTTATTCAGAGCACCACCCTCTCAGAGCAGCAGAGTGCCGAGCACAGTAAATGTGTGATTGACAGTTCATGATCTATAGAAATAGAGACTGCTGTTTCTTTAAAGAAAAAACAGCACTCTCATTTTAGTGTAGAGTCTGTTTGGGTTTACTACATACGTGATTGGATTGGTGTGTAAGTGAGAGCAGCTCCGTGTTAGCTCTGTGTTAGCTCAATGATAGCACTGTGTTAGCTCAGTGATAGCTCTGTGTTAGCTCTGCGTTAACTAGCCTAAATGTTAGCTCTGTATTAGCTCTGTAGTTATTTTATTGTTAACTGGTAATTATGTGAAGGTGCATCACAGGCGATGTTGCAGAGTAACACAAAAGTAATGTAACGAGTATTGTAATCAAGTACTTTCTACAGGAAGTGAATAAGAAAATTTGCCTAATGCATTGCTTTAAAAAAGTAATGTGTGTAATCCATTACTTTTTTGAGTAATGACCCTAACCCTTACTCAGTGTTAGCTCTGTGCCAATGCTGTGTAAGCTCAGTGTTAGCACAGTGTTAACTCAGTGTTAGCACTGTGTTAGCTCAGTGTTAGAGTTACATGTTAGCTCAGTTTTAGCACTGTGTTAGCTCAGTGTTAGAGTTACATGTTAGCTCAGTGTTAGAGTTACGTGTTAGCTCATGGTTAGCACTGTGTTAGCTCAGTGTTAGAGTTACGTGTTAGCTCAGTGTTAGCACTGTGTTAGCTCAGTGTTAGAGTTACGTGTTAGCTCAGTGTTAGCACTGTGTTAGCTCAGGGTTAGCACTGTGTTAGCTCAGTGTTAGAGTTACATGTTAGCTCAGTGTTAGAGTTACGTGTTAGCTCAGTGTTAGCACTGTGTTAGCTCAGGGTTAGCACTGTGTTAGCTCAGTGTTAGCACTGTGTTAGCTCAGTGTTAGAGTTACGTGTTAGCTCAGTGTTAGCACTGTGTTAGCTCAGGGTTAGCACTGTGTTAGCTCAGTGTTAGAGTTACATGTTAGCTCAGTGTTAGAGTTACGTGTTAGCTCAGTGTTAGCACTGTGTTAGCTCAGGGTTAGCACTGTGTTAGCTCAGTGTTAGCACTGTGTTAGCTCAGTGTTAGAGTTACGTGTTAGCTCAGTGTTAGCACTGTGTTAGCTCAGGGTTAGCACTGTGTTAGCTCAGTGTTAGAGTTACATGTTAGCTCAGTGTTAGAGTTACGTGTTAGCTCAGTGTTAGCACTGTGTTAGCTCAGGGTTAGCACTGTGTTAGCTCAGTGTTAGCACTGTGTTAGCTCAGTGTTAGAGTTACGTGTTAGCTCAGTGTTAGAGTTACATGTTAGCTCAGTGTTAGAGTTACATGTTAGCTCATGGTTAGCACTGTGTTAGCTCAGTGTTAGAGTTACGTACCTTTCCAAACCTCTGCTGCTGCAGGTACAGCATCCCCTTCTTCCTGATGTCCTCCTCCATGATGATGCTGCACCTCCTCCTCTCCTCCTCACCTCTTTGTTCTTCTCCTCTTTCTGCTCCACTTTCCTCTCCTCCTCCTCCTCCTCCTCCTCCTCCTCCTGTCTTCTGCTGTCTTGTCTCTGTCTCCTCACCTCCTCTCTAACTTTTTGCTTCCTCTTCTGCTTTGTCTCTCTTCTGCGTCTCAGTTTCTTTTCTTCTTCTTATTTCTACTTTTTTCTTGAATCCTCTTCCTCTTTTCTCCCTCCTCCTCCTCCTCCTCCTCCTTTCTTCTTGTTGTGGCGTCACTCCTCTTTACCTCCTTCTTTTTCCTCTGCGTTGTTTTTGACTCTTTTCGTTGCACCTCTTTTTGTTGACCCTCTCCTTTACGTTCTCCTTTTATTTCTCCTTCTTTCTTGTCTTCTGTCTTGGTTTACTGTCTGGTTCCTCCTCCTCCTGTGTGTGTCTGTGGTATCAGTGTGAAGCAGAGAGACGTTGAGTGTGTCATCTGTGTTTCCTGCCTTCACTCTGTTGCAACATGTAATGCAGAACTAAGCATGTGAACGTGAACCTCCTCCGTCACCACCGCTCCTCCTTCCTCCATCTCACACTTTGACACTTTTATTTAAATCCAACCTTCTGTCCACTCTGTGGTGACTTTACTCTGTCTTTATTCTTCTACTTTGTTTCTCCTCACCACCTGCTCCTCCATGAGCTGATACCATAGACTGATACATGCAAACATCACCTGGTGTCACATGCACGCCTCCTGGTGGCTGATTGTGTTCATCGCAGTAACCTTCACTTTAATATTTTTGACATTTCTAAGAACGTCTCATCAACATGGTTCTGATGTCTCTGAAACACTGACACTCACATCAGATCCTGATGAACGAATGACTGAAGTGTAAAATCTTCACTGATGAAAACTTTATAATTAGTTGAGAACAAAATGACGCAACAACCAAAATCATCGACCCACTGAGGGCTGGATTCAAAATCAAAGTCAAACATTGAACTCACAGGCTGATCCTGTATGACATCCTGACAACGTCTGAGCTCCTGATGAGTCGGAGGATGGTGTCCTGGGGGATCTCCTCCCAGACCTGGATCAGAACATCAGTGAGCTCCAGGACAGTCTGTGGTGGACGCACTGACACATAACGTCCCATAGGTGCTCAGCTGGATTTAGGTCAGGGGAACAAGAGGGCCAGTCAATGACATCACTGCCTTCATCATCCAGGAACTGTCTACACTCTGGACACATGAGGCCCGGTCCTGCACCAGGAGGAACCCAGGGCCCTCTGCACCAGGAGGAACCCAGGGCCCTCTGCACCGGGAGGAACCCAGGGCCCTCTGCACCAGGAGGAACCCAGGGCCCACTGCACCGGGAGGAACCCAGGGCCCATCGCACCAAGAGGAACCCAGGGCCCTCTGCACCAGGAGGAACCCAGGGCCCATCGCACCAGGAGGAACTCAGGGCCCATCGCACCAAGAGGAACCCAGGGCCCTCCGCACCAGGAGGAACCCAGAGCCCATCGCACCAGGAGGAACCCAGGGCCCATCGCACCAAGAGGAACCCA